GACGTTTTGTTCCTTTCACTCCTTGGCTGGTTTGATAGTTTAACGCCAGCGGGTGTTTTCAAGCAATCAAAGATTTCCCTTGAATATATTTGCGATGTTTTCCTTGTTGTTCTCGCCAATGTTGCATGCATGTTACTATCTTATTGTTGTAGTCTCGATATTTATGGTTAGTGCAGTTGTTATTGTTTGGTCGCTCTTGACGTTTTAATGTTGATGGCCTTCAGGTCGTATGGCATCAGTGATGACTGGCATTCTGTTATGGATGCTTTCGGCTGTACACAATTCTTAATAGGGGGCCAGAGGGGGTGTACAGCAAACGCATATATTCTTGAGTGCACATATGGAAGCAAAGCTATGGAAATATTTATAGATGTATACTTGTAAAGATATTCACGAAGAGAATATGCTAGATGATCTAATTGCGTAGAATTTCTTGATGGCCAAAAGTGGTTATTTAGAAAGAGGAATCATATGCAGTATTCCTACAAAATCTGGAGAGATTTTGGATAGAAACTGTCTTGGATCGAACCGAGCTTACTACGAAGTAAAGAGCAATACATTTTATGTATTGTCTAGTATTCTGACTCGATATCCTTGCTACCCAATTGTGGAGGATTTGTTCTGAACTCACTGCTGTTCTCTATATGAGAGTGGACCACTTACATTTATTATTGGATCCAAGAATTAACTTCCGAGTACTTTTCATGGAAAACCCCATAAAAATGTAGTTATTATAAAACTTTAAGTAAAATTTGAACTATGTCAGCGAAATTAACTTCTGAAGAAATCCAGTTTCGTAACTAAACTTCAAGCAAAAGTTTGGTGTGCTGCGCGTAGCTAACCAGTCATGTTTTTCTATGTTTCCTTTGAACCTTCTTTCCCAGTTGAATTGATAATGCTAAAGGTCTGTGGACACCTACTCGTTATTAAGATGGCAGCGTCGTCAGTATATGCTACTGACCTTGCCTTCTAAGTTCCTTAGCAGCTTATTCACTACTAATGTCCATAGAAGCGCAGTTAGCACTCCACTTTGGGGAGTACCTCTTGATAATTTTACTATTATTAGATTCTGCTCTTATCTGTCTAGAGGTCAAAAGCCTTCTCATTCAACGTTATATAACAGGCTCAACGCTTAAGTTTAAACTGTACAATTCTGTTTTATTCACATATTGGGTTTGAAGCTCGAAAACCTGCGGACTTAATTTTAACTTTCAAATATGCCGCTTTTAGCAGCTGAAAATTGGCAACAGCGCCATGCTACGCCATTTAATTCGCAACTTCGCTGACTCATCTGCCTTTCATGCCAACCTACCGCATGTTGTTTTTGCTTTTTTGGTTAACTTGCCACATGCAACGCACTCATTACGCCACATTCATTGCGCATTCTCATTCATTTTGGCATAACACCGTCAATGGACACGTTTCTACATATTTTAAGTCCCCCGGGGAATGGCAGCGAAGCAGCAGAAGTGGCGGCAGTATATAACCGCGTGCCACAAAGGCACAGGCTCGCATTGTGCAGAACAATACCTTTGCGCGTAAGAGCTTAAGCGCGTTTGTGTCGACCAACACTGCCACCATTCGGCTGCTTAGAGAGGTTATCGTGCCGCTGGAGCCCCATTTTGTTGCTGCTCTTCAGTGCTATCTTTTGCTTAGTACTTTTTTTCCACCTTTACTTTATTTTATTGTATTCTTTTTTGAAGCGCAAAACAATGTTGCAACTGAACGTTGAATTGCGTCTAAATTATGCCCCACAAAAATCGCACTTTAAGTTGCCGACCACTCGTTCGACTTTTGGTCTCCCAAGAGCATGAAGATGGATTGCAATAAATGCAGAATACAACAAATAATGTTAATGATAAGAAAACACAAGGTACTTATACTTACTCCCAGCATCACCGCACAATAAATACATATTTCACTCAAGATCTATCGGTTTAGCGCCTGAGGTTATGCTATACTCGAGTACATATGTACATATGTATATAACAAGCTTATTTCTTTCGCATCACGTGAACTGCGCTTTAACTTCGTTGTGCTCGTGTGGCAAATTGCGTGCTTGAGCAGCTGCTTAGAACCGCGTGGCCTGTGGGCACATAACTGCTGCTATAATTTACTTCTGTCCGCCCGTCTTCTTGGTGTGCTCACCACAGCTCAGCTACACTCCGCCTACTCTAGTTATTTAGGGGCTCACGCGCTGCCATCTTTAATATTTAACTATGCTTAATTTAACTCTAAATCACACTCCAGGGGAGTAGGTTATACCAATGATTCCATTCCGCTTTACTCTTGTTCTACCAGTCCACTTTGCCGCCCAGCCACCTCTCCTCCGGCTCTCGCTTGTTGCAACAAAGTTCTCTCGTTTCTTTGTGTATGTTCCACTTTCAAGTCGCGGCTTGTCGATGAGTTTTGAATTTTTAATGAGCTCATCTTCTGGTAATCTTGCAGTCCCTTCTCCTTTAAAGTGACTTGCCTCCTTAGCGCCAGCAATGCGCTTGCTTCCCATGTTGCTGTGAAACTTTTTTACTTGTTTGATATTAAATCTATTTTATGGCATATTAAAATAGCTGCAGTTAAACGCCATAAATATATTTTAAAGATTTTTACAATAAAATGGGATTGCATTAAGGAACTGTAACTGAAATGGGCTTCCTGCGGCGTACACGAACTGCGGGGTGGTGGTTGTTATCCATGCAATTGATATTCATACTTTGATGGTGAACAGTTGCTATTAGACTGAGGGTGGAAAGCAGGTAAGAGGGTTCAATAAATAATAGACTCATTTCGCGCTTGGAAGTGGAATGTCATACGAATCTAATATCGCAGCTATTTAAAATAAAATAAAATCGTATTAGTGCAAAAGAACAACAAAGTGAATGGAATCATTAAAACGTGTTTTAGAATAAGAATGTAAACTTTCCGCTGTAATTTTGGTCTACAAGGTTGACTCGAAAGAAAGGCGCAGGAGCAGGAGACCGCAGGTACATATATAGGTTCATTGTGCTCCCGAGCGGTAACCAATTAAGTTTTATCCCGAAGGTCAGTGGATTTGGTAAAATACCTGATATTTTTCCATCCCGGCTGCCCAATGCCTCTTAAGTAAGAACATTATTACTCTAGCGTTGCATCATCCTCCATTCATGCTTTGCATTCGACCGAATTCACCTTATCAATTTTCTGCAGGCAGAACCTTAAGGGTAGGTAGCCTGTGATTTCAACATTATCCAATGATCCACAGGCAAGTGCCTTTAAATTAAATTTTGTATAAAAGTCTACGTTCTTGTTTTACTAACCCTGCCAAATCAACCGATCCCAAAGTAATTCAGAACTTTTCACAATAGGGTTATGCGTTACTATTTTTTTGTTTTCCTATAATTCATTATTTTAGTAATGTTCGGAACTTGAAACAGCGAATCCTTATCTGCTTGTTCCAAACAACACTCAATAATGCTATTTGCCCCTGTCCCAGACGTTCGAGATCTCGGGATCAATTCAATCCATTTGTAATCAGTGCCTCAACATTAATAATAAAAACGGTCAAAAGTATTACCGTCGAGCTGAACAGATTTTAGAACAGCGCTGGGCTCTGATGCACAGGTAGATAATACAATGTCTTCTCTATGTTACCAGTTGAATATCGCTCTAACATGGGATTCAGATTTGATCCCTTAAAACATCTCTAATAATAGAAAGAAAATGTTATACACTCTACCAAAACACAATGACTAAGTTGGCTCAGCCATGCAATGAGAATGGAAAACAAGAGAACGCAGAAGCATATTACAGTGGCCACAGCATTAAAGTAAGGGAACGACTGGAGTCAAGATGCATTGACAAACTCGAGGAAAACATGAATACGCTTGGCAAACAAAATTGCTAATGATAGAGATGTCTGGTGCCCAAGCTCACAAGATGCTGTAGCGCTAAAATATTAGGTTGTCAAAAATGTTTTGCGGTATTTTCGCTAGTTGGCGCTGAGAGCGCGTAGTAATATCAAACAAGTTTTATTCGTCGGGTCATGCTATACCTTTTTGGAAAGCTCATTTCACGCGCTAACACGTCTTTGATTGATTGTCGTTTCTTTTAAGTCGCTCGTGAGTTATAGCGTCGCAAACATGGAGCAAAATAAAGAGAAAATACGGCATATTTTACAGTACTACTACGATAAAGGCAAAAATGCATCTCAAGCCGCCAATAAAATTTGTGCAGTTTATGGACCCGATACTGTTTCCATTTCCACCGCACAACGATGGTTTCAACGTTTTCGATCTGGTGTAGAGTTGGTCGAAGATGCGCCACGCTCCGGAAGGCGTGTCGTCGAAAATTGTGATAAAATCGCAGAATTGGTGGAAAGAGACCGGCATAGTAGTAGCCGTAGCATCAGTCAAGAGATGGGCATGAGTCTTCAAAAAAAAAAAAAAAAAAAAAAAAATTATGAACAATTGAAAATTCAATAAAAATACCGCAAGACTTTTTTGACAGCCTAATATAATGAAAAAGAGAGCTGAGGTCAATGGCAGATGACAACGTTTATTGCTTTTGCATTGGTTACTCTTTGAAAAGCTTCAGTAAATAGGATTATGAATTCCTAAGCGAGAGCAAGAGAGGATATTGGGGACTAGTCGTCAGATAGCTCTAGATCGTGTGATTAATTCCGTATTCGATACAAACTGGACATAAACTTTAACTTAAAACTATTGTTTTTCTTTTTTTTTTTTTTTTTTGTGTTTACTGTTTTTCTTTAGACTCTATAGGTTGGGAGGGGATCATTGTCATTTATGAACATAGTCGTATGTCTCTCAGAGAGAAAAATAATAACTAAATTTAGTTCCAAACTTAAGCAAGGCTCACGCGGTATAAATGGCTCTAGGTACTAATTTAAAGTCTAAGTTCCGTAAGAGCTTAAGACTTTATGTTACCTTTTTATATCCCCGAGGGCCTTCTACTACTAAAAAAAATACTCTAATATTGATTTCTAATTAATTTTTTCTCTTTTGCAGGAATTACGCGACTGTGGCGCACCATGTCATGCCATGTTCTTTCCGGAAAAAGAACGCACTGTACTCCGCTACTGGGTTGGCTCATGGGCGGCTGTCTGTGTGGCAAGTTGTCTATTTACGGTAAGTGTAAAATCAACAAATTTATTAGAAGTACTTAGCATGAGTAGACGGCACAAACTAATTTAGTTATTAGTGCAAATTATGATTGATTTCGCCTGCCAAGAAGCCTGGTACACGGGTGAAAGATTCGTAGTTTAGTGAGAAACCATAAATCATTGTGCAACCAAAACGCGCTGCTTGTTGGAGAGGTCGTAGAAGGGAGCAGTAAGAGCACTCCTTGGCATATAGATATTAGCGTACCGAACAGCTATCGTTTAGAAGCTCCCTTTGCCAGCTGGCAGTGAACCGACAATATCGGTTTCGTAGAAGAAGCAGACAACGGAAGCAATATGGCGCCAAGTAAACATGGCAAAAGAAATGCCAACGCTTAAGTGAGACAGGCAAGCGATGTCGGAAAGTTGTAAACACCGGCATATTGCAAATACTCGTGTACAAAATAAAAAACATCCTTCGTGTGATATATTACCTGTCAACGTCTCACTTTTTCAATAACTAGAGCTAAAGGCAAATCTGCGCAGCAGCTGCAATCTGTACAAATGTCAACAGCATGCCAGCATTGAATTGCTTTGTCGATTCACAAAATGTGTGGGCATGGCAACAGCAAAAACTGCTGGGTCTGTTGATTTGTTAAATTTGGATAAATATTCAATTTTCTTTGATTGAAGACATGCAACGATATACAAGTTTCTTCATGTCAAAAAAAAAAAAATTAAAAAAAAATAAAAAAGGTTCAATGTCTTACTTGTTATAATCAATTGCTCAAGAATAATAAGTATTTACCCGCCTCGTCGTTACCACGAACTTTTTTTTTCGTTCCTCCTAGACTTTTGTACACTTCTTCTTCGAAATTCGCCTTTCCTACAGTTTCCTACAGTATTAAAGCAAATACTAGATTCCATAAAAGATCACTACTGAGATTACCGCTTCTATAGTATTTAAACTAGCCCTTTATGGTTTGATTTCTGATAATTTGAAGTACCAATGTCGCCATTGCCTTGAGAGACATTAACATTAAACTTTCGTCTTTTTACTTAACTGAAGTTCGGCCTTTTTTCATTGAGGGGTAGGTAAACCATCCAAGCTAAGGCCTTCTGTACCGGAGTGGAATATAAACGGCACATGGAACTACTTGCCCTTAACAAGTTTCACACGTCCGCAATAATAGGCAACCTAACTGGCCACTGTCACAACAGGCATTCACCCATAAGTGACGGCATCTTTGTTTTATACTCGGATCTAGAAGTTCTGGGCATCACAACAAGCGTCTCTAAATGTGCAAGTGGACTTAACCCCGCAGTGAATATATAGCGTAGAATTTACCCAGGGTACGGTATACCTGTCATAAACTAAACATGACTAAAATCGAATATGTACTACTCGTATATCTGTTATTTGAGTTATATAGTTCTGTCAGAAATGGGGCTATAATACTGAGCTTGAACTGATATTATAGACTTTGAATGAGATTTCTTTTAAAGTTCAAGCGATAAATGTAACAAGTCATTGAGTTTAAAGGGTGCTCAACTGGCAAAAGGTCTGACCGTAGACTTAAATCTGGTACCACGGGGAGTAGTTAGCTCTTGGAGCTCGGTCCAATCTGCTCATTGGGTTTGGGCCTTTGCGGAAATTCGTGATGGCTGCAGTTTAAACCTAAAGACTGGTAGAACTGAAAATTCAGTTCAGTGTGGAGTCGGACTGCGAACGGGTGCCGTACCCACAGCACGGCAGAGATTTTAGGTCAACCTAGAACCCGGCCAAGATGGAAGGGATGTTCCTTCATAAATTATACCCTTTCTGTAAATTGAGGTATGAGGTTAAGTGTATTTAATGACAACTCCACGGAATATTTGCTGAAACTGTCTTATAACTTCGACTCTCTGAGAAGCATAAAGCAGTCCTCTTAAGTAATTTCCTAGCTATGCTCAAATATATTCCAAAAATTTCCTATGCACCCGTTTTGTGATCTCAAAAGCCAGCTGTAGCTTAAAATACGTATTATGTAAACACAGGCATGTCATGTGAGTATGCTAATTCGCTTCGAGTCTATCTATAATATTTGTATTCTCGTACAGCCATTGTTGTTGCTATTTTTGCTTACATTATTTTGACAGATTTTTGTCGCTGGCGCTGAAATATGTTTTACTTTCAAACTCAGCGAAAAAAAGCAACACTGTGTGTGGTGTGAGCGGCTGTTTTTTGGGGTCCGTTGGTGGTGATATTTATATCATGTAACAAAATATATATTTTTTGGTTCCATAAAAGTTTTGTATGGGTATAACAGATATGTGGATATATTTGTACACAAAGTTGCATATATTTTAGAGTTGATTATATAAAAGATGGAAAAATAAAAAAGTCGTGTATATTTGGTAACATGCATACATACAGACTAACAAAGCATTATATAAATATAAGAGAACTCACACGTGGGCAGCGAGAGTTGTGCATTTATTATAAATTGATGGATTGCCTACATAAATATATTGTGGCAGTATAGTTACTAACGGTATTTTTGGTGTATGTTATTCGTACATTTAGTTTTTAAAGCTTAATCATGAAAAATTAATATATTCTAGTAGGTTAGATCAGACATACAGCCACGTGGAGGAGATTATTTTATAATATGCTGAACAAAAGTCTTGAATACTTGAAGAAAGTAGCTTCAAACTATTTCAATTACCAAAATTCAGCCTGAACGCCGAAATTATTGGCTTCAAATGAATGGCAAAGCGGCAGTTAAGCCCCTAAACGAAGTCCCACTACGTTACTCATGCAAGGAAACAATAAGCAGAGAATTGTCTTAAACGATGAACCTTAGAGGAACACCTTAGGTCTACGAACGCTAGCCAAAGAGGAAATACCAAAAGTTACTTTATAGTAGTGTTGATCGTGGACGGAGCGAAACGCTTTTACCATTAGGGAAGAGAGAACTTAGTAACATTGTAGAGAGGTCAGCACCTACCCCTAAAATCTCACATTAAGCTGAGCTCAGGCCACCAAGAACTACGGCTGTTACTGTTGTCGACTTTAGTTCGTAGGTAAACTGTGAAGGCCTAATAAGCAGACCCTAACCCAGCGTCACAGGAGACGAGGGTTCGGTTTAAAACATCTTAAAAATTCTATGCATATTTGGAGACAAGGTGAATGAATACCGTAGTGTCGAAATAAGTATACGCAATCCTAAATACCCTCTGACGAAAAGCAGAGCACCATTTAAGAAATCCAGCATTCCAACAAAGACCACGATTTTGATAAATATTGAACTGGAGCTGATGGCTGTGTTATTCTGTTACCTCAGTATGTATGCAAGAGTGATATCCTGTAGAAATGGCTTTCAGTGTAGTGTCACAGTGCCTTTGTTCCATTAAATTCATAGCAGGTCCGCCAGTACGTTCGATGCTACGTCGCCATTAGGTTAACGGTACAGGCTCACTTGATTAAATACTGAATAGTGCTTTGGTCCTGATTTTGAACACGCATTCCCATAAGATTTAGTATTAAAGCTCGCGTGGCCTCCCTGAAATGATAAAGCAAGCAAAGCTAAGGTAGAAGTACCGAGCTAAAAAAATGGGGTCCAACACCCCTCGATGAGCTTCATCGATATTATCGGTAGCCTGCACGGGAGCTGGATAAAAGCAGAAAAGAATAAAGATTATTTAATAGCAATTCCTCCTGAAAGCTTATATTTTTTAAAATAATTAGCCGTTGTAGAAAGAACTGAGTGACTTCTTAGCGGGGTATTCTACTCTAGAAATCAAATTTTGGGCAGTTTTTTGAATTTTATTTAAAAATAAACCAAAAATATTTTT